CCCAAAATGACCAATGAACTTACTATATAGATAGCTGCTATATACTTGGTTTTTTAAAAAAAGGTAATCATGTTTACTTTTAGAAAATCCATTTGTGAATTGTCTTCAATTTATTTCATCAGCATTCTATAGTTTTCAGAGTATAGGTCTTTTACCTCCTCGGTTAGGTTTATTCCAGTATTTTATTCTTTTTGGTGCAATTCTAAATGTACCTGTTTTCTTAATTTCTCTTTGTGCTTCTTTGTTATTAATGTATATAGAAACACAACCAATCTGCATAATTTTGTATCCTGCTACTTTACTGAATTCACTTATTCTAATAGTTTATTGTGGAATCTTTAGGGTTTTCTGTGTATGGTATCATGTCATCTGCAAAAAGTGAAAGTTTAACTTCTATCTAATATGGATGCCTTTTATTTCTTTGCTTGTCTGATACCATACACAAAAGTAAACTCAAAGTGGATTAAAGACTTAAATGTGAGGCCTGAAACCATAAAATTCCTAGAAGAGAACATAGGCAGTGATTTCCTTGACTTTGGCCACAGCAACATTTTTTGTAGACATGTCTCCTAAGGCCAGGGAAACAAAATCAAAAATAAACTGTTGGGACTACATTAAAATGAAAAGCTTGTGCACAGCAAAGGAAGCCATCAATAAAACAAAAAAGCAACTTACTGAATGGGAGAAGATATATGCAAATGATATATCCAATCAAGGGTTAATATCCAAAATATATAAAAAACTTACACAACTCAACACCAGAAAAACAAATAATCTGATTAAAAATGGTCAGAGGGAGGCGCCTGGGTGGCTCAGTCGGTTAAGCGTCCGGCTTCGGCTCAGGTCATGATCTCGCTGTCTGTGGGTTTGAGCCCCGCGTCAGGCTCTGTGATGACAGCTCAGAGCCTGGAGCCTGTTTCAGATTCTATGTCTCCCTCTTCCTCTGACCCTCCCCTGTTCATGCTCTTTCTCTCTCTGTCTCAAAAATAAATAAATGTTAAAAAAAAAAATTTTTTTTAAATGGTCAGAGGACTTGAAAACACTAATTTGAAAACATATGTGCACCCCTGTGTTTATTACAGCATTATTTACAGTAGCCAAGATATGGAAGCAGCCCAAGTGTCCATTGATAGATGAATAAAGAAATTGTGAATATATAAAATGGAATATTTTGCAGCCATAAAATAATGAATTCTTGCCATTTGTGACCATATGGATGGGCCTAGAGGGGATCATGCCAAGTGGAATAAGTCAGAGAAAGACAAATACCATATGGTTTCACTTCTATGTGGAATCTAAAAAACAAAGCAAATAAATTAACAAACCAAAAGGAGAATCAGACTTATAAATGCAGAGAACAAACAGATGGTTGCCAGAGGAGAAAGGTGTGTGGAGGGATGGGCAAAATGGGTGGAAGAGAGGGGAGATACAGGCTTCTAGTTATGGAAATGAATACATTGAGGGAATAAAAGGCATAGCACGGGGAATATAGTCAGTGGTATTATCATAGCGTTACATGGTGACAGATGGTAGCTACGCTGTGGTAAGCATGGCATAACATATAGAGATGTTGAGTCACTGATGTACACCTAAAACTAATGTAACATTGTGTGTCAACTATACTCAAGTACAAAAATATTACATTAAAAAAACGAGTCAAATTGTATGTACACTTGAAAAAAAAAATCCAAATGGTGTAGAGGTAAAAATAAAGAGTGAAGGGACCACTACCCAATAGTAATCATTGGTAGAAATCTCTGGAGGTGTTTTGTTTGTGTTTTAAATCTTCCTGGCAATTCTGAGGTGTCTCATGGTTCCCTAAAGATCCCTCTGTTGCCATACTTTTTTGATTAATTCCTTTCTTGAAAGAGAACATACTTTAAAAAGTTCTTCAAGTTGCTTTCATTTTATCCTTCCTCAAGAGTATAAATTATTTACATCCTAAGAGAGAAATTTACCCACATCAAATAACAAAAGTTCTGTGTGCATCAGGACTTTATAATAAATGGAATTTTAAGTCCTGAACTAGGCAGTAAAATGACCAGTTATTCTCAAACCTGCCAGGTCTCTCCCTCTCTGACTACAGAGCTCTGCCAGTTCGTTACCGCTGGGTTACTGCATCCTGAACACTGGGGGGTTAGTAGAGTGAACTCTAGAGCTAATCTGCTTCAAGTCCTATTTCCCAGCCTTGGACCTTGGGCAAGTTACATTACTTAACTACCCTGAGCCTCATTTTTCTTATTTGTAAATCACAGGAAATATTTAATTCATTGGATAGTCTTGGAGGACCAGTAAGACAGCTCATGCAAAACACCCACCACAGCACATCACATAAAGCACCTCCTCAATAAATGGTAGTTAACCTCTTGTATTATCGAAGTCACTTTGGAATTCAGTCTCAGATCCAGTCCTTTATTTACCAGTGGGATTTGCACCTTCTCAGAACTCTAGGATGCTAAAGCTAGAAGGGACTTAGCACTGTCTTCTTGTACAGCAGTTTTCAAGCTCTGATTTTTGCGGGGGTGGGATCCTAGGGTTTCTTTGAGGTCCCTCAGGGACTAGCAGAGCTACCCATGCCTGCCTGGGCCAGCAGAAGCAGGAATGTCTTTATCTGTTTTGCACAGTAGACTGCTGTGTAAGATTTCATCTGGTAAAGGAATTTTTAAAATGTTTAAAAAAGAAAAAAAAAATCACTGATTTAGTACAATGTGTTCTCTATACAGACAGGCAAACAAGCCATACATGACTTGCTCCAGGTCACGCAGTGAATTTATGGCAGAGCTAAGGTTATCTCTTAATTCTCAGAACGTACGTTAAGCAAGATAGTAATAAAGTCATTTTCTGTAGATGGTTTTAGAAGATGGTTAGTATTTCACTGGTGTTAGCTTCTCTGTTGCCTTTGAGACATTTCCCTCATGGTAATATATCAGGTTTTTTTTTCCACAAAGACTATATACATCCTTTACTGAAATAACCAATACAGCCCTGAAATACCTGTTATAGCATTAGCCTATTTATTTAGCTTTTGAAATTTGGATTCTGTCTGTCTTCACCGTTAAAATAGCTGCAGAATCATCTATTGCTTTGAATTCCATGGTCATTGTCCTAGGCTGGTTTTCATCACTTTTTCCTTCCATATTCATGATCATACAAGCTTCTTTTACTCTCCTTGCCTCTTTTGTCTTTCACTGTTTCACACCATTACCAGAGTTCTCTTTCTAAAACACAGAGCTGATCTTGGTCAATCCTTTACTTTAAAAATGTTAATGCCTGGGGCACCTGGCTGGCTCAGTCAGAGAAATGCGTCGCTCCTGATCTCTGGGTCATGGGTTGTGGGTTCAGGCCCTGCACTGGGTGTGAGAGTACTTAAATAAGTAAACTTAAAGAAAACTTTTTGTTTTTCATTTTTTTTAACTTGTTTTATTTTTTATTTTTTTAAATTTATATCCAAATTAGTTAGCATATAGTGCAACAATGATTTCAGGAGTAGATTCCTTAATGCTCCTTACCCATTTAGCCCATCCCCCCTCCCACAACCCCTCCTGTAACCCTCAGTTTGTTCTCCATATTTATGAGTCTCTTCTGTTTTTCCCCCTCCCTGTTTTTATATTATTTTTGTTTCCCTTCCCTTACGTTCATCTGTTTTGCCTCTTAAAGTCCTCATATGAGTGAAGTCATATGATTTTTGTCTTTCTCTGACTGCCTAATGTCACTTAGCATAATACCCTCCAGTTCCATGCATGTAGTTGCAAATGGCAAGGTTTCATTCTTTTTGATTGCCAAGGAGTACTCCATTGTATATATATACCACATCTTCTTTATCCATTCATCCATTGATGGACATTTGGGCTCTTTCCATACTTTGGCTATTGTTGATAGTTCTGCTATAAACATGGGGGTGCATGTGTCCCTTCGAAACAGCACACCTGTATCCCTTGGATAAATGCCTAGTAGTGCAATTGCTGGGTTGTAGGGTAGTTCTATTTTTAGTTTTTTGAGGAACCTCCATACTGTTTTCCAGAATGGCTGCACCAGCTTGCATTCCCATTAAAGAAAACTCTTAATGCCTGCCTTTGCTTTCATTGTCGAGGTTTACTCTTCATAATGGCATCTAAAGCTCTTCCCAAATGTGGTCCTAATCTTCCCTTTTTCTTGTTATTCATTCTGTCATATAGACATGACAGTCTCATAGTAAGTTTCCACTTCCTCCAGGCACCCTTCCGTACTTTTGGTCATACTCTTCCTTCTGCCTGGACTGCTCACCTCCACCCCTCGTTTTCACTTCGAGACAGCTCGCACTAACCTACAGCTCTGTCACCCCAGGGCCTGCAGAGTAGAAAGTCAGTCTTCCTTTTTTATGGTATCTTAATTTCTAAAATAGGTGGCTGTCTTTAAAAAGCTTCTAAAATCAGTACAATTGTTTGAAGTCTCATGGTGTTGAGTCCCAGAAAAATGATCTTCTACTGAATAAAGGTTACGGAGTAGGATCATATAGATTGTAATGTCTCCCGCAGGGGACCCCAATATCATAAGCCTCTCTTTTTCATTGCTTTGAAATGCTTTTGAAATTGAAAGTGCTCTTTACATTGTTTTTAGGACACATGTCCTAAATAATATATAATATATCTATCTATCTATAGATCTATCTATCTATCTATCTATATATATAGATCTATAGATAGATAGATCCCTTGAGCACATCATGGAATACCTGCATACAATGGAGATGCTACTTGGGTTGATTTTTCTAGAATGGGAATAGATCTGTGAGCTCTAGCTATGCCCCCTTGTGGATCTCCTTTTGATTTCTTCCACAGCCGCTGACTTCAGTCACAGAACAGAATTAACCTAGCTGGCTCAACATGATAGAATCTTTGTAAAATGATGATCTGAGTCTGGAAACGCACATTGCAGTTTTATCTTTTTTATTCTGAAAATAATAATTTCATCTATTTTATTTCCGTGTAAATAATTTCAGTCGTACTTTTTGTTTCATCTAGATTGTCTTACAAGGACATGCAACAAGAGTAACTGCTAAGTCTCAGCAGAGTGGAGAGAAGGCATTTCGATGTGAATATGATGGATGTGGGAAATTATATACAACGGCTCATCATCTTAAGGTATATATAAAGGAAATGCTGTATTTAGTTATGACAGTACCTAGGACATTAAATGCCAACATGATATAGTTGTAGTATTCAAATGCCATTGTTTTCCCTCACTTACCAAGATATAGACACACACTCATGCTCTTACACAGATCACGTGAAGCCATATGCAGATTTCAGAAACTCTCAACTCTGAGCGCTTGGATTATGTGTTCTTCATCTCTGTCTCCCTAATGTCCAAAATACTACCAGGCACACGGTAGATACTCTATATATTTGAATATATTTTTGTCAAATGGGAAATTTATATAATTTTATGAGAGATGTATGTGTAATCATTCTGTTAACAGTGATTTGCTGAAATCTAGCAGAAGTTGGTGTTAATGTGTTTCATGTTTCAAATATATACGCCAGGTATTTTGCTTGCAGCTAAACACAACATACCACAACTCCATAGCTAACATTTATTGAATAACTTAGTGTGTCAGGAAGCAGAAGTCTTGCTTCTAGCAAGGCTAAAAACATTTAGCATATTTGGAGTCGCAGCCCTAGAGCCCATCTCCATTACTTATTGCTGTGTCACCATGACATGTTACCTTTTTCCTTATGGTAAAAGTACCTTCCTCACACAGTGCTTGTGAGAAATAAATAAGTAGATACTGTATACGTACCAGTACTGAAAAGAATGACCTGGTACATGGTAAAGATTCAGTAGATGTTGGCCATTGTCATGATCATTCGTCACAGCAGCCCTCTACACTAGATATAGTTATGTCTCGGCTTTACAGAAAGGACTTTGAGTCTTAGAGAAGGCAAACACCTCATGGTGACGCCTTGCCTCCTGGCAAGGCCCCTGTAGCAGCAGCCGCCACACTCTTAACCTTACATTGCGTGGCCTCTGTCTGTGCTCTGATCCTACCTTTCACTATGTATATGTTCCATACAGACACCTTTGACCACTGTAGGAAAACTCAGACCTCTAATGCTCCTGTTCCTTATTTAAAATGAGTACTTCTTGGGGTGCCTGAGTGGCTCAGTTGGTTACATGTCCGACTTCAGCTCAGGTCATGATCTCATGGTTCGTGGGTTCGGATCCCATGTTGGACTTTGTGCTGACAGCTCAGAGCCTGGAGCCTGCTTTGGATTCTGTGTCTCTCTCTGTCTCTGCCCCTCCCCGGCTCATGCTCGCTTGCTTGCTCTCTCTCTCTCTCTCTCTCAAAAATAAACATTAAAAAAAAATTACAATGCATCCTTCATAACATTAAGCGTTTAGCATATTGAGAACTGTTGGGTTACAGTTTTTGAGCAAGGTTGTCTTTTGTTTCTCCAAAAAAAACCCATACAAACAACAAAATACAGTTCACCCTTGAACAACACAGTTTTGAACTGTGCATATCCACTTATATGTGAATTTTTTTAATAAACACAGTACAGCACTGTAAATGTATTTTCTTTTATTATCTTAACGTTTTCTGTAGTTTACTATATTGTAAGAATATAACGTACGAAATAATGTGTTAATCGACTTTCTGTTATCAGCTTCTGCTCAATAGTAGGCTGTTGGTAGTTAAGTTTTTTTGGGGGGGTGGTCAAGAGTTCTATGCTGGTTTTTGACTGCACAGGAGGTCGGCGGTGGGGGGTGGTCAGCATCCCTAACCCCTGCATGTTCAAAGGTCAGCTGTAATTCAACAGAGAGAAAAAAAAAAACCAGGTCTATGTTGAGACCATCTACCTGAGGAATTGCCTAAAGGAAGTAGAATCATGCCTGTATTTTCATGACAGGTCCATGAGAGGTCACACACAGGAGACCGGCCTTATCAGTGTGAGCACCTAGGCTGTGGGAAAGCATTTGCAACAGGTAAAAACATGAATTTTCTTTGTTTCCTGGTCTTTCTTAGGGGGCAAGCAGAAACAGGCCAGCTGTAGGAACTGAATCTGTGGATGCCCAGTGTCTGAATCTGTGGATGCACAGTGACCAGTTTTTCAGTCTCTCCCTTAACTTCCTCTTCTCCTGCTTGTTCTATTCTCTCTCTCTGTTCTCACTTTTCTCCTCAGGCCTATTTCTGCCTACTGCGTTTGGTGTTTCACTCCACACTCAGCTTTCTTTTAGCAAAAAAGTAAAAGCTGAGCATTAGAAGCTGACACAGACTTTAACGTTAGGATAGACCTGAGGGAACCATGGGCAACTAGAACTTAGCAGGGGTTGGGGCCTCTGGCCTCCTGACTTCTACCTTAGTCCTCATTTAATGTCTTGATTCCATTTCAAGCTTTTGGGGTATGAGTTGCGAACATCTAATAAGATTGGAGCCATTTAAAAAAAGAAACATATAGAACCTCTTCTAGACAGAGATGAAAGTATTGCATTTCCAGCAGGACAGTCCTTAGCTGTTACACTCTTACATGTTGTTAATGGTTGTTCTGTTGTGTTTGCCTAGTATTATATCCTTGGTGTTTACTATATTTTTCAATAGTTTAATCTCAGTGGGCATGCTTAGAGGGGTCTCATATAATTAAATTTCTTTACATTTTTCTTAAAGGTTATGGATTAAAAAGTCATGTCAGAACTCATACAGGAGAAAAGCCATATCGGTGTTCAGAAGATAATTGTACTAAGTCTTTCAAAACTTCAGGAGATCTACAGAAACATATAAGAACTCATACAGGTACTGGTATAAACAAATAACTGTATGTAGGCCAGGACTTTTTTTTTTTTTTTTTTTTTTTTTTTTTTTTTTTTTTTTTTTTTTTTTTTGTCAGGTCAGGAATTAATCTGCAGGGAGGGGACTTGGGGAAGGAGTCTCTGGACATTTCAGAGTTAGCTTCAAGGACTTCTCTTAAACTCCAGAAATTCTTTCCAGGAAGAGGGCTCATAATTTTTTTTAGAATCTCAAAGGGGTCCATATCCCAAAAAAAGGTGAACAATGGTCATAGACAACCAGCCCATTCAATTTGCAGGTATTATCTGAGCAGCAGGCTTATTTACCTAGGATTGCATGTCTGTGTACTAGCCCAACTGAGACGAGAACCTAAGGCACCCAGTTCCTTCTCAATTCAGCGTTGTTTCTCCTATATTAAGCTATTGCTTAAGAAAATGAACTCCTAACAGCCCCACAGAAAGAAAGGCTTGTTACTTCCTTGTGATCATATCTCGTTCCCTTTAAACTTCCTTCTCTCCTTTTCCTAAAGGGTACTTTGTTTATATCTCCCCTTCCCTCCCTTTCTTGTACTTGATTATTTGTAAAATTGGAAAACCAATTATAAAGGTAATTATTTGCTTTGGATGAGAGCTGGAAAGATTTCAGAAACTGTTGATAAGAGGTACTGTTACAAGCTATTGATTAAGCATATTATATATAGCTTAATAATTTAGTTTGAAATTTTACTACAGATGGTTTAAACATAGTGTGATAACTTTGTCCCCAGGTACTACTAAGTATTCTGAAATAGTTTAGCAAATTTCCATGGAGGATTTGTCCATTCATTAAAGTTTAACTTTTAGCTCAAATTTGATCACAGATAGGCTTTGCTTTTTAATGTTCAGGGGGCACCCGGATGGCTCAGTCAGTTAAGCATCCAACTCTTGATTTCAGCTCAAGTCATGATCTCACAGTTTGTGAGTTCGAACCCCACATCAGGCTCTGTGATGACAGTGTGGAGCCTGCTTGGGATTCATATTCTCTCTCTCTCTCTCTCTCTCTCTCTCTCTGCTCTTTCCCTGCTCACAGGCTTGCTTGTGCTCTCTCTCTCTCAAAATAAATAAATAAACTTAAAAAAAAATACATGACTATACAGTGTTTACAAACAAAGCTGTAGGTCTCTGCTTCTATTTCATTCATGTACTTATTTTTATCCATTGTATCAGAAGCATGTTTTTCCAAATTCCTGCAAATTCTATTTGGATTTACTGTATAATGCCAACTTGTTATGTAAAAGTTATATAAAACCATAATCTAGTTCTATTAATATTTGGTCAAAACATTGAAATTGTGATTCCTTTGATAGTATGCATTTAGCAAACTACATATTTGTGTATCAGTTTTTAAATCGTAAGTATTTTCGGGGCACCTGGGTGGCGCAGTCGGTTAAGCGTCCGACTTCAGCCAGGTCACGATCTCGCGGTCCGTGAGTTCGAGCCCCGCGTCGGGCTCTGGGCTGATGGCTCAGAGCCTGGAGCCTGTTTCCGATTCTGTGTCTCCCTCTCTCCCTGCCCCTCCCCCGTTCATGCTCTGTCTCTCTCTGTCCCAAAAATAAATAAATGTTAAAAAAAAAAAAATTAAAAAAAAAAAAATCGTAAGTATTTTCGTTGGTAAAAAGTTGGGTTGTGTAAGGGGGCTTTAGGGATGACTTTTACAAACAAGTGATTTCAGTGCAAAAATAAAGCAAGGTCCTATAGAGTCAGAGGAGTAGTGTAGTAGTGTATATATCACCATGGGAATTGTTAGAACTCTTGATTCCTTATCATCCCAACATGGCAGAGCCGGGAAAAGGTTAAGGTTGTCTAGATCCAGACAGGAGAAGGGACTTACCCAAGACAAAGTACTTTCTTTAAGTTAATATATTGAAAGAAAACTTTCTCTAAAGAAAGGATCAGAGATTCCTGCTCCTTTTTAAATGATTTCAGATTTGAGGGCAGAAATCTTTTGCAGTGTTTTTTTTACCAGCAGGAAAATCTTAATTTTACTTGACCAAAAGAAAAATAACACACTTTTATATGTGCGGGTAAATATCTATATCTATTTATCTATCTATACACAGAGATTTTTATATATCACAAGAGTTGTTTGCTTAATTCGAACTCATTCTAAAAAAGCATCAAAAACAAAGGCTATTATTTCATACTTGACAATTTAGAGGCCCTTTGGGTTCTGAGGTTGTATAAAGCAGGTATGAAGAAAAGAAATATAATTGGCAGGTTAGACTTTTTCATAAGCTTAGTTTATGAGAATAGTAATAGTAATATATTCAGCAAGTATATGTGATGCATATTATGTGCTAGACACTGGATTTTTAAAAAACATAAATTTTTCTTTGAAGTATTACATAATAAATAAAATAGGAGATAAGCTTTTGGGGATTCTGGTGTTTTTCTAAGATAATTCTTATTCCTAACTTTTTTTTTTTTCTTTAAATCTTTTTATGTTTATTTGTTTTTGACACGGAGAGAAACAGAGCATGAATGGGGGGAGGGGAAGAGAGAGAGGGAGACACAGAATCTGAAGGAGGATCCAGGCTCTGAGCTGTCAGCACAGAGCCCGAGACAGGGCTCGAACCCACAAACCGTGAGATCATGACCTGAGCTGAGTCGGACACTTAACCAACTGAGCCACCCAGGCACCCCTAACTCTGTTTTTCTTTTGTATTTCTTTATGATATTTCTTTCTCTGCTTTTCTCAGCTCATTTTTAATATGCCCATCTGGATGATTCCTTCTTGGAAAGTTGTGCAATGATAAGTTTTGAATAATATTCAGATTCTCCTATATAAATTTAAGCTGGGAGTAGAAGACACTATTCATAGGGGAAAAAAACCTGAAAGGGAAGTGCAGAAGGACTCTATGAGTATGCTCCTAGGCAGAATTGAAGGATAAGACATTTCAATTTTCTATGTATTTTTGCACTATTTAATTTATTCCTTTTTGTATTTTCAGGAGAAAGGCCCTTTAAATGTCCCTTTGAAGGCTGTGGTCGGTCTTTTACAACATCAAATATCAGAAAAGTGCATATTAGGACACACACAGGAGAAAGACCTTATTATTGCACAGAACCAGGATGTGGGAGGGCATTTGCCAGTGCAACCAATTATAAAAATCATGTGAGGATACACACAGGTAACAGTTTCTGATTTCTTTGCCTTCCATCTTTCTTCCATAAACCCATTTCCAAGTAATTCCTTCCTTCTCTCCTTCCTACCACTTGGCATGGTGGGGAGGGATTAAGCAGCTTAAAAAAACTTCACATTAGCATGTATACATTCATTTAGTCAGCAGACTGAGCATCTGTTGTGTGTTCCCCTGCCAGGCATCAGAGGTACAGAGACAGATAAGACATAGTCCAGAGCAGTAGAACTGGGGAGAGATGGCAGATATTTAATTGCTACAGAGTGCAGTTTCTCCCATTGCGTGGACAAGATGTTATGGGAGTAGAGAGGGGGAGCAGCCATCTCTGTGGGAATGGAGAAGTATTCAAGGAAGGCTTTCCCAGGGGAAATTGACTTTTAGACTGAGTCCATCACCATGTTTCCTACATTATTAAAGTATTCTCTAAGAAAACGGAAAAGACTGTGAAAACCCAGAGGCCTGGAAAAGAAAACCATAGATTAGAAGAAAAATGATATTTTGCTACTATAATTTTTATTCCTTTTAGGTCTTTAAGAGATTTGATTTTTACATGTTTGTGTTGTAGAAGGAAAACAGAATTCCTGTCTGATACTTACTGTATCATTGTGTGTTACAGACATATACCCACTACTGAGTTCATTGACTGTTAAATAATTAGATAATTGGGGTTTTTTTAAGTTTATTTTTTTATTTTTGAGAGAGAGAGAGAGCACGAGTGAGGGAGAGCCAGAGAGAGACAGAGAGAATCCCAAACAAGCTACGCACTGTCAGCAAAGAGCCTGACAAAGGGCACGAACCCACAAACCGTGAGATCATGACCTGAGCCGAAATCAAGTCACTTAACCAACTGAGCCACCCAGGCACCCCTAGATAATTGGTATTTTATCTATATTATCTTAATATTATGTAAACATTCCTAGTGGATTATAACACAGGTGCTTAAGGGCCTTTTTATGATATTTGGGGAAATTGGCTGGGATTTTTAGATGGGCTGAGAAAACATTATTTTACTCATTTAAAGCAAATGGAATATAGACTCATTACCTGAAAGTTTGCTGTTCACCTGTTTAATGGGCAAATTAGATTCCAATAAGAGGGTTGCTCACATTAAGTTTAGCTATACTGATCTTTGGAACATTTAAGAAGAGCAGTGCTTTTATTTTTAATTAATTTTTTTTAATGTTTATTTTTGAGAGAGAGAGAGTGCATGCATACAAGAGCAGAGGAAGGGCAGAGAGTGAGGGGGACAGAGAATCTGAAACAGGCTCCATACTGACAGCAGAGAGCCCAGTGTGGGGCTTGAACTCATGAACTGTGCCAAAGTCTAATGCTTAACTGACTGGCTCCCCTAGCAGTGTTCTTAAATGTGGCTGCATGTTGAATTCACTTTTTAAAAATAGAATTCTCCATATTCTATCTGCACAGTTCTGACATAATTTTACCGGGATGAGGCCCAGGCATCAGTTTATATTTTTAAAAACCCAGGTCTTTCATATGTGTACATGATTGAGAATTGTTGAAGTAGAGAGGTGTAGTAGGCAGTTAGAAATGTTGGTCTGACCCAAGAGGTAGAAAAGATTGACTAGTGATCATCAGGTAGATGATATAGTAAATGCCCGCATTATGCAGTAAGTGGAGTACAAAGATTCAGCCATGTAAAATTCAATCCACTCTTGCAAGGTTGGTTAGATGACCCAGTTGAGGCTATGCAGATAACCAGTAGGGAGCTCCAAAGTGCAATTCAAATCCATTTACATCTTGACTGTGGTTTGGTGCCACCTAGTGGCGGTTTCTGCTCCAGCCTAAATATCAATGGGACTGGTTTTCTGTTGGAATTGCCTGCCCTTTCCGTGCCTGGGCTTGCCCTCAGCACATGTCTCCCATGATCATCTACCAAGATAAGAGTTTTACCTTGCCCTAGTTTGAGACTATAGACTGGGCAGAGGACAGGAAGCAATTTCCCGTTACTTTATATTCAAGACTTATGTTACAGATTATATTAGTGTGAGATTTTTTTACTATTTATGGGTGTTTTTACTGTGTTTAGAACCATACAAGAAAATGCAGTTATCCAAGGAAGGTATAAAATGAGAATAAAGTAAGACATGCACTTGTATGCACACATGTGTATGCACATTTTAGAAATTATATGAATATGTCCTTTTAGATTTACTGAAGTGTTCAGACTATGTCTAGTAGACTTTCTAGACCTTTTTTATTATCCTTATAAAACCCTTAGGGAAAGCTGCATTTGTTATAGTAATCATTGCATTTATTATTGTCATTTTTAATACAGCATTAATGTTACTGACTTGTCTAGTTATAGGTAACAATAAATTAGTTTTATCAAGGCTTAGAGTTACCCTGGGCAACATCTCTATCCTTACTTTTCTCATCCCTTGAAATGAAGGGAAGAGTTGTATTCAGACATGAGATAAGACTTAGAATGTAGACAGCCTTTTGAACAAAGACAAAATCATAGGGAGTCTTTTTTTGTGTTCCGCCTCGTAGCAGTATAGAAAGAGATTGGACAGTTCATTGGGGCACCTGGGTGCTCATTTGGTTAAGTGTCTGACTCTTGGTTTAGACTCCAGTCATGATCTCACGGTTCGTGGATTCGATCCCCAGGTAGGGCTCCATGCTGCTGGTGCAGAGCCTGCTTGGGTTCCTCTCTCTCTCTCTCTCTCCTCCACTTGGACTCTCCCAAAATAAATAGATAATAAAACTTAAAAGGGGGGGGCGCCTGGGTGGCTCAGTCGGTTGAGCGTCCGACTTTGGCTCAGGTTCATGATCTTGTGGTTTGTGAGTTTGAGCCCCGCGTCAGGCTCTGTGCTGGCAGCTCAGAGCCTGGAGCCTGCTTCAGATTCTGTGTCTCCCTCTCCTCTCTGCCCCTACCCCACTTGTGCTCTGTCTCTCTCTATCAAAAATAAATTGTAAAAAAAAAAAGAGAGGGGCGCCTGGGTGGCTCAGTCGGTTAAGCGGCCGACTTCGGCCCAGGTCATGATCTCACGGTCCGTGAGTTCAAGCCCCGCGTCGGGCTCTGTGCTGACAGCTCAGAGCCTGGAGCCTGTTTCAGATTCTGTGTCTCCCTCTCTCTGGCCCTCCCCCATTCATGCTTTGTCTCTCTCTGTCTCAAAAATAAATAAACGCTAAAAAAAAAAAATAGAGATTTGACAGACATCTATTTTTGCCATTAGAGGCTTTTTTTCCCCATGGGAGGAATGGATTGATTATGCCTTCATATATGTAAAAGTTGATTTTTGTGTGTATGTGTGTATGTTCTTTACTTAGGTGAAAAGCCATATGTTTGTACAGTCCCTGGATGTGACAAAAGGTTTACAGAATATTCCAGTTTGTACAAACATCATGTTGTTCACACTCATTCCAAACCATACAACTGTAATCACTGTGGGAAGACCTACAAGCAGATCTCCACACTAGCCATGCACAAACGGACGGCCCACAATGACACTGAGCCCATCGAGGAGGAGCAGGAAGCCTTCTTTGAGCCTCCCCCAGGTAAGTGTTCTTTCCAATAAATCTCTCTCTCTGGGAATCAACAGCTACCATCATTTATGATGCATAGCATTTTCTCAGATCATAAAGTTTCATTCAGATAATCACACAAATATATAATTTACAACTGTAATAAGTGGTAGCAAAAAATGGTACTTGGTGCTGTGGGATGTATAAGAAGGGAAGTTAATCTAGCCTGGGAGGTTCTTTTTCTTTTTACCCCTGTTTAGTTCTCCTCTTGTTAAAGAAACAGAAAGATGGGAATAAAATGGATTTAGGAGACCCAGCTTGAATTGCTGTTTTTCTTCTGAGAAATGGCCAGGCTGTGGTGCCAGACCTCGGTCGTGCTTACATACGTGATGAAGGGTTTTTTGCCTCTTGAATGTGGCTTCCGTTTGGCAAGAAAAGCTGTAATTATCCCTAAAGAAGCCCTGGAACCTTCCAACTTTGAGATCACATGTGTTTCAAGTGACAGTGGCCTGAGCTGCAGGAGCAGAGGACCCTGGCACACCTGGAGGCAGAGCAGGGCACGTGTTACCCACTGCCCCCCTGTTGTCTAGAGCAGTCTGGGCTTTGGTTTGAGTTGAAGTTGAGTGATGTGAGTTATTTTGCTGCTTAATAAAGTGACCCCTACGTATAATTGGATGTGAATGCAAATAGTTGCAATAAATCCCCTGCAAAAACAGTGTGAGCCTTCTGGTATTTTTAAATTCAGTACAGGTTAGCTAGACACACTTCTTACATAGGTTAAAGTAACAGCTACTACGAGAGATCTAGAGAGTGGATAGGGGTTAATTAGGTGGAGACGCAGGGATTTCGCAGGGAGGGGAAATAAGGAGCAAAGGTAAGAGAACATTCTGAATAGAGGGAATGGCAAATACAAAAAGCCCTGAGGTTGGGGAGAGCAAAGTAAATTGGAGAGACTAAAAGAAGCCTGGCCAGTGTGGCACTTCTGCCTGGGAAGGCAGTATGAAATGAGGCTGGAGAGCAAGGTAGGGGCAGCTAGGCTATTCGGGTGCCCTAAGGATGTTGATCTTAAGCATGAGAACGGCAGAGCACTCCCAAATAACTTTTAGTTGATTTATGTGCTATTAGGTATTGTTGTAAGGAGACAAAAACTTTCATTTCATAAGAATAAACTCTTGGGGAAAAAATATTTTAGAGGATCACATTCTATGATATCACGTAAGTAACTTAGCATAGGTAAATAGGTAAAGTAAGTGAGTAGGTTTTCTTAAAAAAACACACACACCCAATAAAACAAAGCCTGGGCCATCCTACTGTTTCACTGAGTACCTCCTAAACAAAGTAGACTTAAAAATTAAAAGAAATCATATTTTCTCATTCTTATATTGAAGTGTTGGAGAGTAAGGGAAAGAACAGATCATTCACTCCCTGCTGAAATGATTCCCTGTAGTTCTAATTTGTTTTTTCAGGTATCTGTCATGTGATGGTGAGAAAATAACAATTCCTTCAGTCCTGAATGCTATAGTACTTTCTAGCCAAAGCACTGTAAGTGGGCATGGTTAGAAAACCCAACAACTGCTGAATCCTTGCAGTTAGAAAGCAGGCTTTTTTTTTTTTTTTTTTTTTTTTTTTTTTAATAGGCTGGACAAGCTTAGGTTTTGAAATTCTTCCTTTCTTTTTTTTTTTTTTCAACGTTTTTTATTTATTTTTGGGACAGAGAGAGACAGAGCATGAACGGGGGAGGGGCAGAGAGAGAGGGAGACACAGAATCGGAAACAGGCTCCAGGCTCCGAGCCATCAGCCCAGAGCCTGATGCGGGGCTCGAACTCACGGACCGCGAGATCGTGACCTGGCTGAAGTCGGACGCTTAACCGACTGCGCCACCCAGGCGCCCCGAAATTCTTCCTTTCTAAAGCTTCTTCAGTCTTTTTCCTTTAGTGCTGATTTTTCAGACTGTCTGAATTTCTTGTATTTTAGAAAGTAGTCTGTAATATAATGATACAGATTTTATTTAAAAAATAATAAAGATTATTTTTCCAAGAATAGGGATGGATTTGTACTCCTTTTCTCTCATACAATTCTCTAGGTATGGTAGCCCATTGGAATAATGGTATATAAATAGCTGTGAAACAGAACGAAAAGACATGAAATAATGACTGGAGATTTTACCATGATGACCATAGCCATAGGAGTGCATGCATCAGCCACTAACTTTGAGAAGTACTGTTAAATTAGCATAAGTCCTTCTTTGAAGGAAGAAAAAAACATATTTACCCTCCTTCTGGCTTCCTGGGAGGTGAAAAGTGATGAAAAAATAGATCAGCAGACTTCCTGGTTGCCAAGTATAGCACTAATGGACTGTTGAAATTGCTGTCTACTTGCTGGTTCTTCATGACCTAAGGAAGTGGATGGGTGCTCCTGTTCTGTCCCTTATTAAATGATTAACCTCTCCCCAGATAATGTGCCATTACATTGTCTTTACACAATGTGGTCATTGTGTACTGATGACTTGTGGTCAATCACTTGTGTTAAAGAGTAAGTAATTTAGTATTAGTAGGTTCTGTTTACACACCGTTCTGGTTTTGCGGCTAATGTTTATGAAGATTGTGTTATCATATTTAAAAGCTTCTTAAGTGACTGCAAGAACTTAGCATACTTGCCATGTTGGAAGGGTTATTTGCCAGGCAGTCTTCCTGTTCAGTACTCCCCCTGCCCCCCAGCACACATGCACAGTATCACATAATTACTCCAATTAAGAATAAGAGTGGTCTCCCCAAATTAGAATATTTAAATTTGATGTGGAAAGGTTTGGTTTGGTCTGCTTTGATTTGGCTTGGCTTTACAAAAGTAAAGGTAGAGGAATTAAAAGGAGGTGCTAGAAGCCATGTGATTTGGACTATAACATGTATACACTTTAATTTGTATAAATGTCTCTGTCATATTTACAGTATTCTGTTTTTGAAATGAGAATCAAAACTATAATGTGATACCACCTCACACCTGTCAGAATGGCTAAAATCAACAACACAAGAAACAACAGGTGTTGGTGAAGATATGGAGAAAAAGGAATCCTCGTGCACTGTTGGTGGGAATGCAAACTGGTGCAGCCACTCTGAAAACAATATGGAGGTTCCTCAAAAAGTTAAAAATAGAGCTATTTTTAATCCAGCAATGACACTACTGGCTATTTACCTAAAGAATACAAAAACACTAATTCAGAGTGTTATACCAGCACACTGAAATATTATTCAGTCATAAAAAAGAATGAAATCTTGCCATGTGCAATGACATGGATGGAGCTAGAGAGTATTATGCTAAGTGAAATAAGTCAGAGAAAGACAAATACCATACGATTTTACTCATATGTGAAATTTAAGAAACAAGCAAAGAGAAAGAGAGACAAATCAAGAAACAGGATCTTAACTCTGGAGACCAAACTGATGGTTACCAGAGGACAGGTGGATGGGTTGGGGGAGGGATTACATAGGTGATAGAGATTAAGGAGTGCATTTGTCATGATGAGCACCAGATGATGTATGGAATTGTTGAGTCACTGTGTTGTACACCTGAAACAAATACAACACTGTGTGTTAACTGGAATTAAAGTAAAAACTTGGGGAAAAATTAAATATTCAAAGTGATAAAAAAAAAAAAAGAAAGAAAATATCCTCTGTTTTCTAAACAGCTTGCTTGGTTGGTCAAATAAATGATTCATTTGTTTTAAATAGGTCAAAGTGAAGATGTTCTTAAAGGGTCCCAGATCACGTATGTTACAGGTGTAGAAGGGGATGATGTTGTGTCTACACAAGTAGCCACAGTAACCCAGTCTGGGTTGAGTCAACAAGTTACACTCATATCCCAGGATGGGACTCAGCATGTAAGTATCCACCAAAAGCCAAACAAGTTAAATATTGTTTCTCTGAACATGGGCATGAAAGGCAGGTTGGGCCTTAATCGAGGAAAGCCTTGAATATCAGCTTGCAAGCAATGCTAGATCTCCTGAAGGCTTTCTAGTAATCTGCTGAAAGAGGCTACATACAAGAACATTAGGAGAGACAGGATGGTTGTGAGCCCAGCATTCCCATGGTGTTATTGGCGTAGCTCAAAGGTGAGGTGGTAAAGGTCAGAACCACAGTGAAATGGAGGGCTTGAAAAGTAAAGGATCTGTGTGAAAATATAATTCAGAGAAAGGATAGGATTTAGTAGCTGATTAGATCCAGGAGGTGAGATTGAGAAACCAACAGAACCTTGGCTGAGGGGTTGATCATTAAAAGATCCTGGGAAGTCAGTGATGGGCAAAACTTATAAAATTTCCAAAGTGTGTCTCTCTCCCTCCCTGGAGTCATGGAAGTTCACTTAACTTATCTCCCAGATTTCACAGAAAGGTATCTTGATTTCCCCAGGAAAAGCAGTATAATGGTTATTCTCTGAACGTTTCTAGATGCCACTAGCCTAAAATAATCCAGACTTGATTTTATTTTTAGGCTCCAACTAAGGTTGTCTTAGTACCTGGTAGAAATGAGCATATGGGGTTCTTTATCCTCCTATAACTGTCTCTTCCATGGAGAACTCTCTCCTTACTTGTCTCAGAGCTTACCTCCCATGATGAATCTGCCCTTTGTGTTGATAACTGTTACCATGCCGATGCTAACTAGGAAGCAGCACATATTCAGGATTGGAAAATTAAAAGTGCTTGTACCATCCCATTCATTCCCTTCACCCTCACTTTTGATGGCACTAATTCCTCACCCTCACAGTATTCTTTGTCCACTGATTGCTGTGCAAGATTAAACATATTTACTAACCCGGTTTTAATTTAGCATCAATCCTAAGACTTTTTCTTGAATTAGATCATCACAGACAGAGGCCCTCTGGAAGTAATGTGATGTAACCTCCCTCCCTCCCTCCCAAGAGAATTCCCCTCTCCAGGAGCCCCCAAACAGATAAGGCAGTTTCAAAAGAAGCAGCCTGTTCCATTGTTGGGTAATTCTAATGTTTATCAGACTGGAACCTCCTGCTATGTCAGCCACTCCTGGCTCCTCTCTGACCACATAAAGTGAGCCTCATCCCCCTTCATGTGTTCCAGAGCAGCTATTTTCCTTATCCCGATGTATTTTCTCCAGATGTAACCTTCCCATTTCCTTCAGGGATTAGATTTCTCTTCCATTCCTTTAGTCAGTTAAATAGCAAACATTTATGGAATGTCTACGCAATGCCAGATACTTTGGTTGGCTTAATGTGGGGAATATAGGAAGGGGGGGTATCATAGTCAAGGAGGAGAGAGATATTTCTAAATGAACAATAACCTCTTATGATGGGTATGTAATTGAGGAATGTGTAAAGTGCAGTGGCAGCCTGGAGGAAGGAGTAAATGATTATTCCTGAAGGAATCTTGGAGACCCTTTTAGAGAATGGCCATTTAGTTGGATCTTTTTTTTTTTTTTAACATTTATTCATTTTTTCCGAGACAGAGAGAGACCGAGCACGAGTGGGGGAGGGGCAGAGAGAGAGGGAGTCACAGAATCTGAAGCAGGCTCCAGGCTCCAAGCTGTGAGCACAGAGCCCAATGCGGGGCTTGAACTCACGGACAGCGAGATCATGACCTAAGCTGTAGTTGGATGCTTAACTGACTGAGCCACCCGGGTGCCCCCCATTTAGTTGGATCTTGAGGAGTTTTCATGCGTTTGTCAGGCAGAGTGAAGGGAAGGGAAAAGCCAGGAAAATAGAAGAGAATATGACACTCTGGGACTGCAAATGATTAGTTGTGGCTGGAATGCCAGATGCTGGTTTAGAAGTAGTGGAAGATGAGTCTAGAGATGCTGTTAAAGGCCAGATTGCAAAAGGTCATGAATACCATGTAAAAAGTCTAAACTCTAGTGATGGGGGGCCCTGGGGATTTGAACAGGGAGCATAATGAAATTTGTTCTTTTAAAAAGGTGTCAAGGTAGAGGATGGCTTAAGAAAGGGTTAGACTGGGTACCTAAAAAGAAGTTGTATTATTGTGGAAAGTCAGACAAGGAAAAAGTAAGGGTGTGAATTGGCAGTAGAGATGGAGAGGAGGAAGTGCATTTAAGAAATAGCTTTGGGGCGCCTGGGTGATTCAATCGGTTAAGCGTCCAACTCTTTTTTTTTTTTTAAGTTTATTTATTTATTTTGAGAGAGATAGAATGAGCAGGGGAAGAGCAGAGAGAGGAGACAGAGAATCCCAAGCAGGCTCCATGCAGTTAGCACAAAGAGCCCCACACGGGGTTCGAATCCACGAAACCATAAGATCACGACCTGAGCCAAAATCAAACGTCAGATGCTTAACCAACTTGATCTCAGCTCAGGTCTTGATCTCAGGGCCATGAGTTCAAGCCCTGTGTTAGGCTCTGCACTGGGCTGAAGTCTACTTTAAAGAAAGAAAGGAAGAATCAGTTTGGGGGTACCTAACTGGCTCAGTCAGTGGGACATGCAACTCTTGATCTCTTGATCTTGGGGTTATTAGTTGGAACCCCATGTTGGACATAAAGATGACTTAAAAATAAAATCTTTAAAAAAGAAAAAGGTTTTCTGACGATCTCTTTCTAAAGAGTTTATTCCATTATAGAATTCCTATTTGCTCCACAGAGTAGACTTATTTAAGGACTAGGCCTAGTCCTTACTAAAGATTGCCAAATAGAACAAGAAACAGACTGATATGTGAAATGCATTGTGTTGCAGGTCAACATATCTCAAGCTGACATGCAAGCCATTGGCAATACCATCACGATGGTAACGCAGGATGGCACACCCATCACGGTCCCAGCTCACGACGCAGTCATCTCCTCGGCAGGAACGCACTCTGTTGCTATGGTTACTGCTGAGGGCACAGAAGGGCAGCAGGTGATTGCTATTTTTTTTATATTAATCAATACATATATCATCAAAACTATTTCATAGATATACAGGGTAGTGTGGTGGTTAATCTCACACACTTTGGATTGAATTCCAGGTTTACGGCTTATTAGCCACATGACCTTCTGAGCCTGAGGTTTTCCTGCTCTGTAAAACAGGAGTGATTGTAGCATCTACACCATGAGGTTGATAAAAGGATTGAATGAGATAATACGTACGTAGTACTTAATATAAAGCCTAGGTATATGTTAAGGGTTCATTAATGGTTCATAAAGTGTTCACCAGATACTTAGGAAAAATTCATCGGCAAAATTTATTTAATATTTTGAATAATATAGTCACATAGTTCAAAAATCAAAAAGTATATACAGGTATGCAGTGAAAAGTCTCCCTACTACCCCTGCCTCCATCAATCTTGTTCTTGCCTCCATAGAGATAATCCACTGTTATTAGTTTCTTGTGTAGTCTTCCAGCCATTCATTAGGCATATACAAATAAATAGAAATAGTCCTCTTCTCCACTTTTGTTTTTCTTATGGTAGTAAACTATACTGTTCTTCACCTTGGGTTTTTTTTTTTTTTTTTAACTTAATGATACATCTAGAAAATGTTTATATTTCATTATGTAGAGAGCTTCCTCATTCTTTTTTAAAGCTGTCTCATATTTTACTCTATGCACACCCTAATCGAAGTCTTGTGCTGTTTCAAACATGTAACTTTGTGCTCATGTGATTTTTGCATATGGGTGAGTATGTCTGCCAGGTAAATCCTAGAGAGGAGTTGCTGGGTGAAAAGATACATGCATTTGTAATTGGGGTAAGTAGTGCCAAGCTTCCCTTCTAGTGTTGTACAGTCCACAGTACCACCAGCAGCATTCCCTTCTGTATAGTCAATACAAAGGTACTAAACTTTTGGATTTTTGCCAATCTCATGTATCTCTCTGTAGTTTTAATTTTTCATTTCCCTTAAAATCCATGATATTAATACATTTTACATCTTCTTGTACTATGCTGACAGCAATGTTGAGATTCACTGCAGCTACCTTACCATGTTCAATGAAAGAGTCTGTCAAAATTAGTAGCTCTCATTCATTCATTTATAAATTCAATACCATCACAATCAAAATTCCAGAGGCTTTTTTGAAGATATTAAATAATCTCACTTTAAAATATACATGAAAATGGAAAGAACCTATGATAAACAAAACAAGAAAAAAGAACAAGGTTGAAAGAAAGTCTTCTATACCTTGAAATACAAAACTCAGAATCATAAAGCTTCTAGAAGAGAAGTGAATACTTTTGCAAACTTGGCTAAAGATTTCCTAAAAATGCACTACCAAGGAAAGAAAAGAACATAAATTGAACTTCGTCAAAATTAACTCTGCTCTCCAAAAGACACCATTAAGAAAAGCCTCAAACTGGGAAAAAGATAAGATAAGCCTCTTAAGAAGAAGATAAGCCTCAAACTGAGAAAAATATATTCACGCTATATATATCAGTGGAATTGAGAATAGATAACAAACTTCTACAAATCAACAATAAAAAGATGAATAATAGGCCATAAAAAATGAGCAAAATTAACTTAAAATGTATTTTTTGAGGCGGGGGGTGCACAAGTGAGCGAGGGGCAGAGAGAGAATCCCAGGAGGTGCAGAGAGGGAGAGAGAGAGTGTGAGAGGGAGTGAAGTGGGGCTCACCCGAAGCGGGGCATGGGCTCCTGAGCTGTGAGATCATGACCTAAGCTAAAGTCAGATGCTTAACGACTGAGCCACCCAGGCACCCTAAATAAGAAATTTTTTAATGAGCAGATCATTTGACCACTCACTTGAACAGACCTCTCATAAAAGAAGACTCAAGAACGGCCAATGACACAAAAAAAGTGCTCAAAATGACTAAAATAAAAAAGACTTGACTAACATTTGGTAAAGATGCGAAGCAGCTAAAATATTTGTACATGCTAGTGGGAATGTAAAATGATACAACCACTTTGGAGAACTGTTTGGTGGTTTCTTATACTCCACGACCCAGCAATTCCACTAGAATACATATTATACGATTTCACTTACATAAAATCCAAGAACAGACCAAACAAATCCATGGTGATAGAAATCAGAAAATGCTGCTTGACTGGGGGAAGGAAATTGATGGAATGGAATATGAAGGAACTGTTCTCTATTTTGTTTTAGGTGGTGGTTCCACAGATGTATCTAACTGTCAGAACTCAACAGAACACCTAAAGATTCATGCATTTTTATTGTTTGCTAATTATGCCCAATGCAAAAACAGAAACAAACTCGAAACCCAGCCACTAGCTTTCAGGCTGTCTTACGGAATGGTCCCAGTCATTTCCATGGCTCTAGGATTCCTGGATTGGGTGTATGACACAGCTTGGGTAAATACACCTTGTACCAGTTATAGTTGCAGGTCTGTAAGAATAGTGGCCCTAAACCAAGCATTCTTTTGTAGCTTATCTGTAGCCTGGGGACTAGGAAAATTTTAGGAGAGGCGGTTTTGAGGGCTGGAATGAAGGCAGGCAGCTTTCAGCAAGCAGGGATATCACAACAGGAGCGGGGATTTCCCTTGAGGACCAGCTGCTGCCACATCTCCTTCTGCTGCAACTGTAGGCCATTGGGCAACTGATGACTATCCACTTGGGGTGTCCAGACACCACCTTTGAATTATCTGTAACCCTTAAATTACCTATTTCTTTACATGCACAGGAAGAAAGCAGGTGGTCTTTCCCTGCCTTTTTTTTTTTTTTAATTAAGGTCATTGGATTTCTTAGCCTCAGTTTTCCAGGTGCCTTGAAAACCTAGTTAGCAGGTACAGACAGTATCTATTTTTGTTAATTTTTTTTGTTAATTTCAGATTATAAAAGTAATATATATTCTTAATGTAATAGAATAAAGAGTCTAGAAGTAAACCATCAAATATATAGTCCATTAAATCTCAACAATTAAAATTTGACTAGTGGGAAAGGATGGTCTTTTAAACAAATGGTGCTGGTAAAAAAAATATCCACATGAGAAAGAATGATGTTGGACCCTTACCTTATATCATATATAAAAATTAACTTTTTGAAAGAAAACATAGATGAAAATCTTCATGATCTTGGATTGGGAAGTTATTTCTTATGTATGACAGTTATTTCTTATGTATCACAGCAGAGGCAATGAAAGAAGAAATAGATAAATTAAACTTGTTAAAAATTAAAAACTTTGTGCATTAAAGGCTACTACCAGGAGAGTGAAAAGACATTCTACATAATGAGAGAAAATATTTGCAAATTATGTTATCTGATAAGGATTAATATTTAGAATAAAGACTTCCTATAACTCAACAACAAAAAAAAAAGCAATCCAATTTAAACATGAGCAAAGGACTTGAATAGACATTTCTCCAAGGAGTTTTACAGATGGCCAATTAGCATATGAAAAGATGCTCAACATCATTAGTTATTAGGTAAACACAAATCAAAACCACAGTGAGATACCACTTCACCCCCATTAGTTTAGGCTGTTATCCAAAAAACAGTACCAAGTGTTGACGAAGATGCAGAGACATCTTGTGCATTGCTCATAGGAATGTAAAACGGTGCAAGTACTGTGGAAAGCAGTATAGCAGTTCCTCAAAGAGTTGAACATAGTGAGCATCTGGCTGGCTCAGTTGGTACAGTATGCAACTCTTGATCTTGGGGTCATGAGTTCAAGCCCCACATTGGTCTTAGAGCCTACATAAAAGAAAAAAAAAAAAAGAGTTGACATAGAACTACATATGATCCACTAATACCACTTGCAGATATATTTCCAGAAGAATTAAAAATAGAGATGCAAACTAAAAATCAGCTATAATCTTTTGATGTTATAATAACTAGTCTCAACATTTAGGACTGCTTACTTCGTGTGTGTGTGTGTGTGTGTGTGTGTGTGTGTGTGTATACACAGAGTTAGGGTTATGATTTTGTATGCCTGTCATCCATCTAACACTACATTCTGAGCACTTTCTCATACCAATTAAATGTTCTTGTAAAAGGATTCTTATCATTTGTAAAATAATCTATCAAATGGAACTCATTAACTCATTCCACAAACATAAATTGTTGTATAAGCCTTTGATTATCTTCATAGGAACAAACTCTAGCATGGAATTACTGGATTAATGATATAAAGTATTTTAAGCTGTTTGCTACATACTGCCAAATTTTCTTCCAAAAAGTTTTAACAATTGCACCATGGATCTAAAAGCTTTCTTGGTTCACTGTACTCTTCTTGCTAGCATTGAAGATTTTAACATATTTGCATAATTCACAAGCAGAAGTTGAATTCTATTTTATTTTCATTTGATCATTAATGAGGTTGAACATGTTTTTCAGATCGACTCACAATCTATTTTTTCTTAATTGAGGTAAAATTTACAGTGAAATGTACAAATTTTAAATTTACAATTCAGTGAGTTGTTACACATACACATGCATATAACACCATCCCCAACATTTTCATCACCCCCAGAAAGTTCCCTTGTCATCCCTTCCAGTCAATCCCTAGTCTTTTCAGTTTTCCTAGTTAAATGGAAATCTAATTTTAAGTCCCAACAGGTAGGGGTGCCTGGGTGGCTGAGTTGGTTAAGCGTCCGACTCCTGATTTCACCTCAGGTCACGATCCCAGGGTTGTGGGATTGACCCCCACCTTAGGCTCTGTGCTGAGCATGGAGCCTGTTTAAGATTCTCTCTCTCCCTCTACCCCTCTCTCCTGCTCATCTCTCTCTATATAAAATTTTTTAAAAAGTTTTTTTAATTAAAAAAAAAATGCATCAGGTAAACAAGAGAAAATAGTATATATTATGTTTCACTGATCCCAACTCAGGAATAAATAGACATTTGAGATATGAATTACTCTACATGTGTAACGTACCAAGCAGCCACTTAGGGTAGGAGATCCTAAGCATGGTCACGTCTGTCCTGGTTAATGAAGCCTCGTGTAGCAGACCTACCTGCCAAGTGTCCTCTACCCTGTTATGTCATTGGTTCACATAAGCTTAGATAAATGCCTTCTTTTTGAGCCTCAACTTCTTCAAACAAAAAAGAGTCTAAGATAGACAATATAGAAGTTCTCTTCCAACTTTAGGCTTCTACAAGTCTGTGGTCAGAAGGGAGTTTTTCCTTTCAAATTTCAAGACAGTCCCTTGCATTAAATGGAGTTTAATGTATTTAATCATAGCTTTATTTTGTGTATTTTTTGTTTAAGGTCGCAATTGTGGCTCAGGACTTGGCAGCATTCCATACTGCCTCATCAGAAATGGGGCATCAACAGCACAGCCATCATTTAGTAACCACAGAAACCAGACCTCTGACCTTAGTGGCAACATCCAATGGCACCCAGATTGCAGTTCAGGTGAGTTCTGTAGCAGCTGTCCTTAGTCAACAGGAAGACTACTTCCTAGCTCTCAACCTTGCACATTGTGCTTTATTCAGAACCTTTAGGGGAGGCTGGGGACAGACTAATCTGTGTCACTTAGCCACTAGAAGGAAATTGCTGTGTTTGAGGTGGTTTCAAAGAGACTGGCACTTTGTTCGCTATTATCTTTACGTTTTTTAGGGGAATTTATAGTAAGAAAAATAAAGCTTCTGGTATACATCCCAGCATGCACCCAGCCAGCTATCTTTACTTTCAAAATAAGTCTAATTAAGCAGGATTCTGTAAAGCACTTGGAAATGAACCTAGCGTAAATGTAGACCCAAATTAGTCCTCTGAGAATCACTGCACAGCCCCATTTTATGTTAGGGGAACATCAGAAGACAGAAGAAACTATTCTTGGGGAAGTCACTGGATTCAGGAAGACAGTCTAGAATACAGATTACCTTTCCTTGGGAAGAGTTGTTTTTCATGTATTTACTTGGAAAAGAGTTAGAACACACTCAGGAAAATGCCAACCATTGTTTTTAATTTAGTTTATGGTATAGAAGCTAAAGACTCAGGAAGCTCTCTGAATACCTCCATTGGAAAAGATGAGCATCTTTTGTCCATTGCATGAGTGAAGGTTTATCAAAGTCCTAAAGGAAGAGGTGCCTGGTGGCTCAGTTGGTTAAGCATCTGACTCTTGATTTCGGCTCAGGTCATGGTCTCACAGTTTGTGAGTTCGAGCCCACGTCGGGACTCTGGGCCGATGGTACGGAGCTTGCTTGGGATTCTCTCTCTCCCCTCTTCTCTGCCCCTCCCTTGCTGTCTCATTCTCTCTCTCTCTCTCTCAAAATAAATATATAAGCTTAAAAGATATAAGCTTAAATAATATAAGCTTAAAAGAAAATCCTAAAGAAAGATGGAGTGCCTGGCTGACTCAGTAGGTAAAGCATGCAATTCTCAGTCTCAGGGTCATGAGGTTCAAGCCCCAGGTTGGGCACGGAGCCTACTTAAACAAAACAAAACTGCAAAATCCTAAAGTAAGAAACTACATTATTCTACTGCAAGAATTTTTTGTGTGCTCTTAATGATTGGATCAGCAGTCGTATCTTAACGAGTCCAGGTGTCAGAATTACAGAGATTTTACTTCGGGCATATACTGTTTCTTCGGTATTATCTTGACTGTGGCTTTGTGTCTGTTCCTGTTTCAGCTTGGAGAACAGCCATCTCTGGAAGAAGCCATCAGAATAGCATCTAGGATCCAACAAGGAGAAACACCAGGGCTGGATGATTAATCCTCAGAACAGTGGAGCATCGCAGCAGGAGGAGCCTTTCACCTTCGGGCAGCAGACACCCAGGAACCCGGGCCCAGGAAAATTAGAATTTTTCCATTCCTGAAATACTGTACACGTTTTTATGCAAGAGTGGAGAACATTTTATTCTTGACACTTTTGTGTATATAACCCTTGGAATAGATTCCCAAACTGATTCATTGTGTACAAGGATGTATGAAATTAGGGCAATACAGTAAATTTTCATGTTACTCTTTTATCAGTTCACAAACTCCTAGAGTCCACATGCAAGATCAGCAAAGTCTTATGGAGTCTTATGATGGATTTTTAACTTACTGTGACAAATAAAATAAAGGCTGTATCTAAAATGTTAAAGGTTCTATACTTCAAACAATCAATTCCAGAAGCCATCATGGATAATAAAGGATGTAAAGCCTTCAAATATTTCCCCAAGTTAATAGAGCGTCTGCAGTTTTTGTTCTACTGTATACGTGTCTGGTTTTTTTTTGTACCTCACGGTTTGAAAACTATTCATTATAGTTTTCCATCCCTGTTAAAATACCAACTCTTCAAGCTGAAATGCTAATTATATTGAATTGGATCCATTACATTGGATTATGTATAAAATAACAAAGTTTGGTTATTTAAAATTAAAAAGTTAAATCCAGTGCTTTGGTTTTGTTAAAGATTTTACTTAGCGTTCAGTTTTTTTTTGTTACTGTTTTTTAAAAATAATGAACTATCAAAGTTTGACCATAGGCTGGAGCCCGGGATAATAGTGCTGTAATTGGACATGGCTTTCCTCTGAAAAATAGGTTAGTGGGTCCGTGTAAATTATTTATTTTTGCTTATGTACTTTTGTTTTAAAGCTTATTTACCCTAAAGTTTATTATTAATTTTGAATACAGCAATTTTTAAAATGTTACCTTTATATTTGTTTTATTAATGTGGTATGGGTGTGGGAGAGACTGTGGTAGAAAAGAGCACAAATGCCATCAGTTATAACCCAACATACATATATCGAGAGTATATTGTTTATCAAGCACAGAATAAGTATTTTTTCATACATTGTTATGCTCTTCTAACAATTTTGTGAGATATACGGGATTTATTATCCCCATTTATAAAAGGAGAAACAGAGGGTCTAAAGAAGTTGTGTCTCCACCCAGGCCCTCCGACTGTGAAGAGGCAAGGCAAAGACTTGAAAACCCAGGCTTTTTTTTTCTTTTTTTTTTAATGCTTATTTTGAGAGAGAGAGTGCCCACACGCATGAGTGGGGGAGGGGCAGAGAGGGACAAAGAATCCCAAGCAGGCTCCCCACTGTCAGCATGGAGCCCAATGCAGGGCTCGAACTCACGACACTGGGAGATCATGACCTGAGCCGAAAGCAAGAGTCGGATGTTCGACCAACTGAGCCACCCAGGCACCCCAGAGAACCCAGTCTGACCCCCATGTCCAGTGTGCTTTCACCACACCACAACTGCCTTCTCAGATGATGCTGGCGGCAAAGATTATCAAGATGAGCTCTGGTATTTTCTGATTGCCCAATGACCAGAACACTCGAAAAACCATGTCTAATGTCAGAAATTTAGCTTAGGGTCCACCAAGTTCCAAAAAAGAAAGGATGGGGAGGCCTGCCCTGCAGTAATCATTCCTTCACCGTGTTCACTGTGCTTTGTTTGCCAGAGAGCTGAAATGCCGCTCTCATGTTTCATTTCAAGCTTTATGGTAAAAAAGGAAAAAAATGTACTGTTGTATTTAATACAAATGTTATCTTTGATGAGGTTCTTTGAAGTCTTGCTAAAAAAGGGTCGTGACTTACTTATCTGAAATGGGAAACCCTTCAGGGTTGGGCAGGCGACTGGTTGCTTTCCCTTCAAAGCTCTTCACAGATATTTAACATTAGAAAGGGTCTTAGTCACACACAGATCCTGTCTTCTCTCTTGCCTGAGACCTTAAAGCACACAAAGAATTCACAGCTAAGGCCTGCTAAGGCTCAGAAAGGGGCTGGTATGGGGAGGCAGAGGAAGAAGAGGATCTGCAGTCACAGGGTGGTGCTCTGGCCTCCCAGCCCCAGTCCTGGCTGCTGACGGGGCTCCTCTGCTGGGCCCAGCTAGGCCTGCTGTGCTTCCCAGGACCAAGCCCACGCTATCAGCCTCCCTGGGCCCCTTACTGCCTGTGCTCAGATTCCAGGCTTTCTCCCTCACCCCAGCTCCTTTGCCAGCTAGACCGGACAGGGCTGAGCTGGACTCTGCTGGCAGGCCTGTTTATCCCTCAGCTCCAAAGAAAATGCCTTCTTACCGGCACCAGAGAAAAGGGCAGAGGGACGCTGCTGGTTTGTCCCCTACCTGCCTTCCTGGGGATGGGTGGTGGCACATTTCCCCCAAGGGAAGACTCCAGCTGATGTGCAGACAGTTGCTAGTTAAGCTGGTGCAGGGTTTCTTCAGAGTGTAGGGTGCATAAAGGAGCCCTCCAAAGTTGGAAAGTCCCCAAAGACCCTTGATGAAACACAAGTACTTTACAAATGGAGCCTGTTGGAGCATAACTGCAATGGGATCCAGGCAGTTGCTCAAGGCAAAACTTAGTCTAAGAAAACCCCTCACTCTCCCAGACACAACCTGAGGCCACTACAGAGAAAAAGAACATTGCCTACAGTCTGCAGTCATTAAGAATTTAGGAAATAGAGTAAGAGAAGAACTTGGCTTCCTCAACTCTCCAAAGGTGGCAGCTGCCCCGAAGGCCGGACAGCTCTCTGTGCCCCTCCACCTCGGGGTGGTCATTTGGGTGATATCACATGCTGCCTTTCCTGCACGGCAGCTCCAGGACTAGGTAAGTAATGTCGGGAAACCATGCATTCAGCACTAAAATGGACTGGACTCCAAGGAATTTGTGTTCCAGTGTTTCCTAGCTCACATAAGACTGTAGACCAGTTGGGGTACGTGCGTGGCTCAGTCGGTTACGCATCCAACTTTGGCTCAGGTCATGATCTCACGGTTCATGAGTTCAGGCCCCACATCAGGCTCTGTGCTGACAGCTCGGAACCTGGAGCCTGCTTCGGATTCTGTGTCTCCTTCTCTCTCTGCTCCTCCCCCAGTCACGCTCTCTCTCTCAAAAATAAATATAAAAAGATATATATATAAAAGACTATAGACCAGTCAACTATCAGTAGATCCCAACAGTAAGAAAGCAGAGGGCAAAAAGGAAAGGGGCACAGCTGGAATCTGTTGCCAAGGAAGGAAAGGGAGCATGTGGGAAGTGCAAAAAGGCTGCCTCAGCCCCTTCCACTTAAGCACTCTCTATACTTAGGTTTCCTCAGAGATCTTACAAAGAATATTCCAGCCAAATACCCTCTTCTCTTTTGACTGAGGAACAAGGCTGGCTCATGGACTTGTGACCAGTACAGTTGACCAGACTCTGCACTTGGGATTTAATGCACTGTGGTTGCAGCCTTGGAATTCTTTTTTTTTTTTTT